AACACTTTAGTCTTATGTCTATGTTTCTGGTTCCTGCCTGGTCTGGTCTGAACCTGGATTTTTTAGGCTCGATCTGATTGAGCTGTAATTAAACTTTTATTATTACTTTTAAATATTTTATTTATTTAAAAACTAAAATGTATTAGAATGTAAAAAAATCAATAATTAACTCGTATGTAGATTTACTTGAATATTTATTTTAAAAAAGTTTCACATTAAAGCGCACTGGACACAACCTATAAGAGAGCAGAGGCTAGTATCGCTAGGGTTAGAGAACTCCTATTTGTCGTCTAAGTGCGATCATACATTTCTACCCTTGAAGTGAGGTCTTTCACACAACAACGAGACACATGTATCGAAGGAGTGGCTAGACAATTCGAGTTAGATGTATAGTTGTTGGTCCAAAATAGGACGCTTGTAGGCTTTTAGAAAGCTACGTAAGAACACTCAAGCAGGAATTAGGAAAGTACGAATATGGAAAGTTGCAAAGGGAATTTGGTAGCCAGAAATAGCATATCTCATTTGAAATTCGGACTTGCCTTTTATAGGCGATTTACAAATAGTAATTGTCAAAGATACTAATGGCTAATTAATTACAACATTAATACATAATTAAACACATAATTAATAACACATTGATTGTTGGTCGTTACTCTTCCTGGCCGGCTGGCAGGTCGCCCTGGCTAGCAGGCAGAACGCTTGAGCTCCTCGGGCGGCAGACTTCCGGTTGGGTCGGCAGGCAGGCTCCCCGTTGGGGTGGAAGGCAGGATCTCCGCTGGGCTGGAGGACAGGCTCCTCGCCAGTCCGAAAGGTAGGCTCCCGGTTGGGCCGGTAGGCAGGCTCTCCACTGGGCTGGAAGGCAGGCTCCCCACTGACCGGGCTGGAAGGCAGGCTCCCCGCTGGGGTGGAAGGCAAACTCCCCATTGGGCTGGAGGACAGGCTCCTGGCAGGGCTGGAAGGCAGGCTCCCCACTGGGCTAGACGGCAGGCTCCCTGCTGAGCTGTAGGCAGGTTGCTGGCCGGGCTGGAAGGCAAGCCATCTTGGGCTTCCGCTCCTTGATGGGCCTGATCAGTTGGGCCGACTCGAGCTCTGGGTCACTGGGCCTTGGCTTGCTGGTCCAACTTTGGGGCCTGGGCCGATTAGGCTCTGGGCCTAGTCCTGTAACCCCATCACGAGTCCCCCACTCCCTTAGTCGAGTAGTAGACTCGGCTAAGAGGGAGTAGTTCAAGTCAGCTGCCAACTTGGAAGAGCTCGGGAGCCGTGGGCTTCCATTAGAGTTGGCACCCAAATTTACACCCAAGTGTTTTCTATGACTTTTTTTTTAATTTCATTATTGTTGTTTAATTTTTTACTTTGATTTTTTTTTTGTTTACCTTACCCTTCTCTTTTATGGAAGCCAGGTAGTACGCACCGCAGGCCAAAAACATAGCCAAGCCCAGGCATGTGTGCTTCAACCCTAGCGCCACATCCTGTTCCTCGGACAGATCAGCTACTCTCCTAGGCGGCGAAGTGATGGCATCCATGTCTCGGTTCGCAGAATCCTCATAGGCTGGACAACCAAACGCCAGGATTTGCTCTTTTAGATCAGACGGATTCGTCTATCTGGTCGGCAGCCATGGCAGGCGACGGCTACCAAGGGGCGAAGATGGCGACTCACTGCTCGGCAGTGATGTCAGCACAGTGATACTTGTGATTGATTTCCTTTGATTCTTCCCGGACGAATTAGAGCTTGGCAGGTTAGGTCTGCAGGTGGGTGGCGTCGTTTTGTAACAGACCGGAGGTCCGCCATGAATCCTGCAAGTCAGACGAGCTTGCTCTCTGGCCGGCGTCGTCTTCGCCTGACGTCCAGCGGGTTGGTGATCTCCCGCCACAACCCTAACCTCAAAGGCGGACGGACAGCCCCCCGGGTCGGTGGAGAACATTTAGGCGGCGACGGCTCCGTTGTAGGGATGGCTTCCGGGTGGAAGTGACTTCCATTACGACTTCCCAGGTCGATCGATAAACGGTAGCAGAAGGATTGCAGCAGGTCGATTGATTCCCCGGACCAGTGGATGAAATCGAGCGGAACATCACTCGCCATCGGCCCCAGGTCGGGCGTTGCTCGCGGATGGGCACCCGTATACCTTCCGGGTCGTGGAGGTTCCAGGCGATGGCTCTAGAGAGTGGACTTTGCTTACCTTCCACCTAAACTGCCCCCAAGCAGTAGGCGTTGCTTCCAGTCCGGCTGAATTGCAGTCCAGTGGTGTACCTTCCCGGTGAGGCTGATTCATCCCAAACCCTCTCATGTCTTCCTCCAGGTCAGACAGCTCTTAGCAGGCTGATGAAAACCATCCGATAAAGCTGGTTTACAGCAATAGGCCTTCGGGGTAGACAATCTTAGTTCCAAATCCGTTATGCAGATTGGTGTTGCAAAGTAGTGAAACCCATGCACTCCTGGAGACCGGTGGCTGACCACAGTCAGATAGCCATCCTTGACTGTGAGCTCTAGAACAGGCATGCCCAACGACTGACCTGGTAGTCAGCTAGAGTATTTTGGTGGTATGCTAAGATGCGGAATGAAAATTGTTTGTTGAGTGGAGGAGGACCAAGGCGAGCATGGCGCCGAAGGCTGTATTCCAAGAGAGGTTTCGGAGGTTCGTGGCAACTCCGGGAGTTGATCGTTGGGATTGACTAGACCCCGATGCATGATGATGATACCACTTGGTGTGTCCACTCATGATTTTGTATTATTATTTTTTTGTAGCCTGCGGCTGGCCTATGTAAACTTTGATTCAACATTAAATCCTGAATGATATGTTTCCTTTTCTATACTTTGCTTTTTTTTCTCTTTCCTGGACTTCCTGCATGCGTGCGTGCGTCCTGCCCTAGGCGGCTGGGTGCCCCCGGGTCGGATGTCATCATCACCTCCATGGAAGCAAGCAGGCGACTAGGCGGCAAAGCGACCGGGTGGCCGGGCGGCTGGGCGGCAAAGCGATCGGGCGACCGGGCGGTAAAGCGGTTGGGCGGCTAGGCGGCCAGGCGGCAAAGCGGCCGGGCGGCCAGACGGCCCTTCAGCCAGGCGGCCAGGCTGAAGTCTCTATTCCATGGGGTTCCGCGTTGTCAAGTGGCAAAGCGGGTCGGGCGGCAAAGCGGTCGGGCGGCCAGGTGGTCAGACGGTCAGGCGGCCAGGCTGAAGTCTCTATTCCTTGGGGTTCCGCGTTGTCTGGCGGGCGGGCGGCAAAGCGGCTAGGTAGCAAAGCGGCTGGGCGGCAAAGCGGCCGAGCAGCCAGGCGGCCAGACGGTCAAACGACCAACCTGAAGTCTCTATTCCTTGGGGTTCCGCGTTGTCCGACGGTCGCCTCGGTGCTCTTCTTCCTCTGGGCGACAGGGTTGTTGACGCCATCATTTGCTTGACAGTGACAGAAACCACGCAAGCGCAGAGGTCTATCGCCACCGTCCAGGGTGATTGCGCTCGGGCGGACGGCATCCGAGATCAGCAGTGTAACTTACAGGCTGGCAGCCACCCGGGCGGTGGTGGGTCCAAGGTCAGAGTGTTGCTCCTCGGTGGTAGGAAGTAGGTGGGCGGTCCAAACTCTTTGGATGACACCTTCATCCCTGCATGGTTGAAGTTGTTGAGACTTTTGAGGTTGATATCAACTGTCCTACTGCAATTGCATATATCCTCCGCCCCCACATGAAATGGGTCAATTCGGGCCAGCTGAGACCTTCGCAAAAGCATAAGTGCAGTCGACATGTGTGGGCAGCATGCTGGTGCTCCCCGAATTATCACTGTTTTTAGAGCCACATAGCTCCTTATCTTGTTACTTGATTCTGATAGCCTTTTTAAGCTATTTGCAAGATTTCATGCCCCATAGAGGTCCCCAAACATGTGAAGAATCATGAGGACGAGGGAGCTCCACTGCGGGGAGCCTACCTTCCAGTTTGAACTTCAAAACATGTAAGGCGGCAGGCGCCCCTATCGTGGAAATGGCAGTCAAGGCTTTCCCTCAGGAGTGCTCAGCAATGCAAGTTAACTGCGACACAATACTTAGGCGTCAGTCGCAAGCTGACAGTGGCGTAGTACCTGGGTGACGGCCAAGAGTAGACTGTCCATGTCAATGACTGAGTTGACTTTCAGATTCCGGGAGAGTTCCTTAAGCATCCTAGCAACCCCTTGACTAGATCGTTGTATTTGATGGTGATGGGTTCTCCCGGTCATGACCATGTAATTATTTTGCTTTACATATTTGTTTTATTTTGCTTGTAGCATGAAGTTGACTGATTTGACATCTGAATGAAGTAATTTTGAATTCATATGTTTCTTTTTCTATACTTTGCATTACGAATACTTAGCAATTTATTCGGGGATCCGCCTTCTCTAACCTCCCGGGGGGGCGGTTAGGCTGGCGTGGCCGAGCCTATCCGTGCCCCTCCTGGTTGGATAGAAGTGATCTGTTAGCTATTGATATGGAATCAACAAGTATGCGACTTGTTCGGCGAGCAAGGTCGGACATTGAACCTACGAGAAGGACCCTTAGGTCGGTATCCTGAACGTTCATGACCCAGGGGTCAGTCCTACTGTCACTTTAACCCGTCCAGTTTGCCCGGACTTTGGGAATAATCTGGTTACTCCCGCAGGGATAGCCGAACAACAGGGGCGGACCCTGCATGATCCACCAGAACGGACCCACACCGCCAACTCGGGGATGGTGAGAGCGCAAACTGCTTGGCCAGCGATGTTAGGCGGCGAGCACTCGAAAGGACCCGGAGGACAGCATCCTGAGCATTTCCTTCCATATTACATTCCCAGGAATGTAACTTTCCCGATCTTTTCTCAAAACCGTGAACCAAACATGAGTATCTAACATTTCAGGCATGACATTTCGACATTCCGACCTCAATGTGAGATAATCTCAAACCAAACATACCCATACGGTTTGGTCATGCATCCAGGCATCCATGGACCATGGTCACCTTGATATAGGTAGGGCTCTTGCCATTATTACACCATCTCCCAAACCTCGTGACACAATAAATGCCCTATTCGATTCATCTTTCTACCATAATCAGAACTCAATTAAAGAAAATGTGAAGCTGTACAATTTCCGAAGATCAAGGATTTCTCCTCCGGTGTGCAGAGAGAAATTCTGGTGTGATCAGAACCATCGTCTCAAAATCAAAACATCTCTCGTCTTCATCGACGATTTTCGATCGATAATTCTTAGGGAAAAAAATCCTTTTACCCGGCCCCCGTAGTTGTTCGCTTGTACTGGCATCACCTTTTTCTCAATCTCGGAGGATATGCCGGAGAAAACAGAGTGCAGAGAACAAGATAAGAAGGGCGGGAAGATGAAGGTGCAGCTAAATCTGGGAAAAAGCGGTGGTTTTTTTATGCTTTTGGGTGGATTGTTGGTGACCGTCCTTCTTTCATCAGCTTTTAGAAAGCGGAGCAAACCGACCGGAAAAGCCGACGGCGGAGATGAAAACGGACCGGAAAAATCGACGGCGGCTGAAGAGCAGAATGGGATGGAGGACGACGGAGAGAGGATCAACGGCGACGGTGAGGAGCCGGCGAGGCAGGGGATTCAGTTCATTCTCTCTAGTCCTGCTTCACTCTTAAATGACGAAATCAGGTTAGTGCTTCAGCAAATTCAGGTGCGAACGGAACTGGATCGGCGGGTTGGTAGCTAAATACTAAGTATTAGCTCTTTTTTAGTTTACTTTACCTTATTCACATTCTTTACTTTGATTACATTTTACACTATTATTTTATGAAAATTATTTTTTAAAGAACATTATTCAATTTATCTCATTACAAATTTTTAGAATCTGATTTTTTTTACTAATTGAGAATAAGATATATACGATAAAAGATGTGCGTTGACAAATGTCAAATGTTGAAATGTTGACCGTTGCAACTAAAAAAGAACCAAGGAAATAGTAGTAAAAATGTTTTGTAACTACTAATGATAAATTTGGTAGAAATTATTTCTTTTGAAAATAGGACAGTCTTATTTTAAAATTTCAAAACGCTTTACTCATATCTACAATTTTTTTTTTTGAATACTAACTTTTATAATATGAAAGTGATATAAAGTGTTTTACCTTTGAAAGTATTCCATTGAAAATATTACGGTAAAAGCACAAGTCGTTTTTTAAATATTATGGAGTATTCATCAAAATTCCTAGCTTGTGTCAAAAGGTTGAATTTCTTATTGTAAAAATCCCACGCCTCCGGCCGGAAAGAGTATATGTGAGATCTAAATCATATAAGCGAATATCAAACTATGAGATCCCACCCCTCCGGCCAGAATATTATGTGGATCACTATCTTAATTTTCATACCATTTAAACTTCAGAGATAAATATGAAACAAATTTAATATTTTATATTAAAATCGGTGTAGGACAAATAGCTCAATATATATGTGATTAACTTACATATTTATATAGTACGTCAGAAGTTGTATTAAGTGTCAAAATTTACTCTTGCAACAAATGAATACCACAAAAATATATGATGAAATTTTATTATGTAAAACGAGAGATTAGTAGAGAATCAAATTTATTACTCTTATGCTCCCACCATCCCACAAAACTTGGTCAAAGTTGATTTGCACGTAGATTAATAAAGTGAGAACTGTGTCGTTAAAATTTGTGCAGAGGTTACAAAAATAACTTTAGCCACATATTTTTTACTATAAATGGAAATGACAAAGTTTTTTTGGACAACCAAAAAAGAAAATTTGGCTAAGTTTTAGAGGAGGGAGGAAATATAAAATTAGTAGTATGTACGTACGTTAGTACGTTACTAGTAGTCTCTTCTAATGTAACAAAAAAAGTAGGTCGATCACTAGTAAATGATGAGAAAAGAAATTAAAAAAATTAGTCATTCAAAATTCATGTCTTTCCTACCCCACTACAAGTGGTGAAGAAAAAGGGGGCTAAGAGCCTAAGACTATCCCTAATCCTATTAGGACAAATAAATCAAATTCTCAACCAATTCATATGCGTTAATATATTCACCTAACATAATTTTGTTGATTTAATCCTTACATTTATTATTATTATTATTATAAATCAATTTTTTGACATTACTTTTGATGAATAATTATGATTTAAATTTTCAAACAAACCAATACAAAATAAATACATTTGGATTGTGATTTCATATTTGTTATTTCAGACTTATTTTGATATAGATTTTTTTTTTCAATTTTATATATTTTTATTTCGGACTTATTTTTGTGTCATTTGAAGGTAATAAAAAGTTGTAAATTTGATATATTTTTTATAAAAAGTTAAGTAAAAATGTAAAAGTTAATTAAGATTTTAAAAAATACAATTTCTTACAATTGGGGCTTGTAAACTGCACGTTGCTTTTCTCCCTTGCATTCTCTCCGCATCCGTGAATTTCTTACAATCTCTTTTTAGTTTCAACAGTCAACATTGTTTGACAACGTACAACTTTGTCCGTCATTATATTTAATTCTATATTAGTAAAAATAAAATAAAAATCAGATTATAAAACTTAGTAATGAGATTAATTTTACAACATTTTTCAAAAATAATAATTCACATACATTAATAAATAAAATGTCGTCAAAATAAAGTATATGAATAATGTATATATTCCAATGTTGCAATTAATGAGATACGGAAGATAGTACCTTCTATCCTTTCTACTTATACGTTTTTTTTGCATGGTTGTACAAGTCACGGAGTGAAAAGATCAAATTTAGCTTTTCATTTCATTCAAATGGTCTAAGTCGTTGAGCAGTAAAAAATAAATGAGGATTTGTTAGAATTAGGTAGGTAGCCGAGGCTTGTCGATCAATCGGGTCGAGGCTACAATGTAGTGTTCTAGAATCGGAACCATTAAGTTAATAATGGACCCAGGCTCGACCGGTATATCCGTCGAGTCTGAAAATTTGGACTCGGACATGGACCTAACGTGTGTCGGAATTGGGTCGGTAGACCCGCAAAATATGAGATACACAACATTACAAACTTTGTGAAAATAACAAGACCTATATATGAAATGTAAAACAAAGTCCGTAAACTAGCTAGTTATACTCCTACCTCCTCATTCACAATAAACAAATCTTAAAAGCAAAATACATTTTCAGTTTAAAAAAATCAAGGTTTCACATAGAAAATCGACACTTCTATCCAAAGGATCGGTTCTTATAGAGGCGTATAGCTCAACTCTCGCAGACTCGCACAGAAACCTCGTAGAATAGAGTAGAAATTATGTCACAAAATGGTCTCTTGGATCATTGAGAATATAAAAGCATATTTTATACTACGTATATGATATAATAATACTAATAATAATAAATATTGGGTTTGTCTAGTGAACCCAACACACACTTTATCACTATGTATAAATGGGTATTAGTTTTATGGTATCACTGTCTAAGTATCACTTATACGTTATACAATAGGTAAATAGGTAATAAATGTGTGTGTGTGTATACTAATAAGGATTGTTTAATTGGTATAGTCCTTAACGGGTCGGAATCATATGTACCATATATGACCTGGTTATAAAACATACTTTCGAATCCGGATCCGAGTGAAGGAATAAAACATAGACTCCTACCCGTTAAAAATAACTGGGTCCGGGTCGGGTCCATATCTATACCCGGCCCATTGACCGGCGTAAGCGTAAGTAGCACTTGGACGGAAATAGTAGCGGCGATAGAAACAAGAACAGATAATTCTAATCTCAAAGTATCAAGAAATGGGTACAACACGAAAACGACGCACTAGAAATTAAAGTTTTACTAATAAATATAATTAATCATTATATGAGGTCATGTTGATATTTATAGGACTACTACCATCCTGGAAATTTATTCATATTTTGACATTATTAAGCTTTAAACATGATAATATATTGTCATGATTGACAATAAAGACGGCTATTTATGTAATAAAAGCATAGTACTTCTATTTTAGAATTTCTAAAAAAAGGAAGACACATGTGATGTGAACTTTAAAAATGTTTACAACACAAACACCAACAACAATTATGTTTCTTTACAGTCCTTTAATTTCCGCATTGAAAAATATTAAAGAAAGACATGCATATTATTTATAGCTCAGATTACATTAATTAATTCATTGAATACGTGTTTTGTATTTTGACCTAGCCTGATGATATGGACCTCATTGTGATTTATGAATATCACGAGTTAATTTGATCAATTGAATTTGTCTGTGTCCCAAAGAATCAAAGACAGAGACAGTCCGATTACAGTGCAGGCATGTGGAGAAGAACAAGACGACATAGCAAGTGGTTGTGATGATCAAGAAATATTCACCAATAACAGTTCCATTCCCGCCACATCTTGTGAGCAAGAAAACTCATCTCAGTCATTTGGAAATCATCATCATGTTTTGAAGGAAGTAAGCCTAGACAGTAGTTCTGAAGAAGGCACACTGAGTTCTGGGGATTCCATCAATATTATAAAAACTGATTCTTTTCCCGCCAAACAAGAAGAAATGGAGATTTTGAGAGGTGATAGTGATCAAAAGAACACTTCCTTTGAGCAACTTGGAGACTTTCAAGTCAATGAGAATACAAATTTAGTTTCTATTATGAATGTTCCTAGCGATATTACTACATCTCAAGTGGATATGAACCTAGAAGATGACACCTCAATCTCAACCATGCGAAAGACGCCAACTGTGATAGTCAATCTCACAGAAAAAGGCAGTGAAAAGGAAAAAGTCCTCTCAAGTGTTATGCCATCGAACGAAAAAGAGGGTGAAGAAATTGTTGATGACCATAAACGCGATGATGGTGATGTGTACAACGATGATGGTGTTTCCGATCAAATGGGAAGAAACCTAGAAGACAACACCCTAGTCTCAACTGTGCAAAAGAAGCCAGCTACGCTAGTCCTTCCCAGAGAAGTACAAGAAGACATTGTTGACAATGATAAGGCAAAAGTCTACTCAAGTGTTATGCCATCGAATGAAAAAGAGGGTGAAGAAATTGTTGATGACCATAAATGCGATGATGGTCATGGTGATGTGTATAACGATGACGGTGTAACCAATCAAATGGAAATAAACGTAGAAGACAACACCCAAATCTCAACTGTGCAAAAGAAGCCAACTATGCTAGTCAATCTTAGACAAGTACAAGAAGACATTGTTGACAATGTTAAGGAAGAAGTCCGCTCAAGTGTTATTCCATCGAATGACAAAGAGGGTGAAGAAATTGTAGATGAGCATGAACAAGATGATGGCGGGGTTAATGATAATGGCGACGAAGATGTTGTTGATGATGATAATCATGGTGATGACAATAATGACAGTGTAGTGGATGGTTATGGTGATAGGGGAGTTCATAATGGTGTTTTCAATGAAATGGAAATAGACATAGAAGAAGATGTCCTAAATGACTATGATGATGACGATGATTACAATGATAGGGATGGCAGTGAGGACATTTCTGATGAATCAAACGATGGTGTTGGAATGGAGGCCATATGGCCAGAACTCCCAGAAGTTGAGGATAGTCTAATGGGACTTGATAAAGGTCCTTATATAAATGAAGAGATAGAAGATGATGGATCCATTACTGCAGAAAGTTATATAACTGTGTGCAGACGAGATATGAAGATGAACATCACTCTTGACCGTCTAGTTACATACTCGTTCCTATCGAAAAGGAGAATTGTTGCAGGAACTATTGCATGGCTCATTGTGTATTCTTGCATTTGTGCCATTGCTCTCATTTTTGTTTTACCCAACTTCCTAAATGCTTGAAGAGAAGTGTTGTATACGAACCATATGTCAGTGGCTTTGTCATCTCCAGGCAACTTCATTGTTTACTGCCTGTAGTTGAGAGATTTGCAGGTGCTCTAACTTTTTTATCATTGAAGAAAATGTACTTGCCAATTTTCCATTCAGTTTACTAGTATTTCACTTGTGCGTTGCACGGTATGTAAAACTTTAATATTATAAATACCACCCTTTAAATGTAATTACAGATCATATTATATTTTATCACGTAAAAAAGGGTAACGATTAATATAATAACAAAAAATATTAGAAGTTTAATAAGCACACTTTACAAATTATTGAAAACTTCCTTACGGATAACGGTTTTTGCGGTTTTTTTATTTACACTCATCTTCGCATATCACAAACTTCATGCTACTGCATTTAATGGTTAAATTAAATAGATACAGTTAAATTAAAAAAAATTATGTTTTGCAATCTCTAATCCTACGTTCACTCTTTAGTTTATAGTAATACATCACATTTATGGTCTCAATTTTCAAAGCCAAGAACTAACCATGTGAAAAAATATCTATAGTTACATTAAAAAGATCTAAATATTGAGCTTTACTTTGTTACAATAAAGTGCTTAGCAAAATGTCATAACTTGGATCCCTATATAGAGGATCGAATGCTTGAAAAAATGTAAGTTCAATACTTACATATTAACTTGGAGTCAATGTATTTTTTTTAGTTTCTTTTCAATTTGGATTAATACATAATCTGAGTTGATCATGGGCCAACACTATATAAATACACGTTAAGCTTTCCAGTACAGTAGCAGTGGAGGCTGCTATATCTAAACCAAAGACAAATTCTGAGGTCACTTAACCTTATAGAAAAGTGTAGCTACTGAAGCTCGAAGAAGAATAGTCAGCGGAAGAACATTCTTTTCTTATACTTCGTAAATGTTATAGTTGTGAACATTTTGATAATTTGCTTCCACTAAATGCTGCTTTGACCTTCAATGATGTGAGCCATTACATTGGACTAATACATTGCTTCCCTATTGGTGTTTAAACTTCAAAAGTTGTGTGCAGTTACATGATGTGCTTGACTCTTTGTAGTACCGCTTACAATATCCCATCACTTCTACTAATGACTATTGTTGATGTTTCTAGTGTCACTTACATTCATGGACACTTTTATAAACAAACCTTCCCGTACATAAATCTTGAGTCTGTTCTTAAATAAAGACCCGCCTCATGCAAAGTGTGGAAAATGATTAGTATACATTACATTCAAAAAACCTACTCTTTATCTAAGAAAGTTGATTTTAAAAATTGAAAATGCTTTTTTTATTGACACCATAACAGATAGCATGACTGGAAACAAAACTAATTGTAGCTGAAAGTAATCAAAAGAGAAAGCACTTTAAAACTAATTTGTACTTGAAAAGGAAAACTTCATTGTCCAAGAGTTCTAATAGAGATAAAGATACCTGTAAATAGCAACAAAGCATACTTAAAATCAATGACTACCCCTAGATCCCAACATGCCCTAACCCGCATCCCTGTTATGGGGTTCAATAATGAAGGCAGAGGACGTGCAATATTGATCATCAGGATACTATATGTATTTACCAAATTTGTTTGATTTTAGTTTACAATCTAAGATAAACATTGGGCTTGTACCTATTATGAACGTATAATGCCCTTATTTCATGGGAAAATACGTAAGCATTTAAGAAGACATCATGCATAAGAACTGATGGAGTATAGGGATCCAAACATATAATTAAATGGAGAGATTGAACTATAGAGAGGAAGAAGATGATGAGTAGTGATATTGCTTGTGTAATAATCATTCTAGGGTTTACAAGCTCCAAAAGGATTATATATAGAGAAATAATGGGTCGGGCCGCTAATATGGACCCGATAGACCCAGCTACATAAAAGACTAATCCAGTACATACAGATGATATATGAATAGTACAATAATACAAAAGACATTCGATAAGTGTGTGTAGACCGCTGATCAGGTCCAATAGTCGTGAGACCCGGGGGTCTGAGTCTATATACTCTATCAGGAGTCCCCCACTCCCTTAATCGAGAGTACTCGAAGTGAAAGGGAGTAGAATTGTGTGCTGACCTATCGTCATCTGGTGAGTAAACTTCGTGAAAATTTTGAATTTCTGCTTCTTTGGTTAACGGAGGCGCTAAGTCCCCCGCTCTTCCAGTCCCCCACTCCTTGAGGTGAATGTAGTGAGGTGAAGAGGAGTAGATTGGTGCATGTCTCGCGATGTCTTCAATAGGGGGCTGAGGGTCGACACCGTTTGATCCACAATGTTGAGATGCCTCGTTAAAAACCTCATTAGGAAAAAACCCTGCGGGAAAAAATCCTAATGAGGGAAAAAGAGTACACCAGATGCCCCCAATGTGAAGCAAAAGGGGTGAGCCCTTTAGCCTAGGTGTGGAGCTGCAACGGTGTCTGTCTGCTAAAGGGATGGCCGAAACCAGTCTCTAGATGTGAGCAGCTCGACATGATAACTAGTCCCAGTCATCAAATAAAGATGACTAAGAGATAGGTCGAGTGACCGTCCATAATGTGATGTCTGGGTCATCAAATAAAGTGACCGAGACATGTGGCCGAGAGGCCTATAAGAAGTCCAAGCCATCAAATAAAGATGACCAGAAGAGACAACCAAGTGGCCGATATGATGAGCTCCACCTCATCAAATAAAGATGACGAGGCGATGCATGGCCGAGGTGCCCGGATGAGAGCTCCACGTCATCAAATAAAGATGATGGGGCGATGTAATACCGAGAGGCCTCTATGAGAGCTCCACGTCATCAAATAAAGATGACGGGGCGATGTACGGCCGAGAGGCCTGTATGAGAGCTCCACATCATCAAATAAAGATGACAGGGCGATGTATGGTCGAGAGGCCTATATGAGAGCTCCGCGTCATCAAATAAAGATGACGAGACGATGTATGGCCGAGAGGACTATATGAGAGCCCCACGTCATCAAATAAAGATGACGAGGCGTTGTATGGCCGAGAGACCTATATGAGAGCCCCACGTCATCAAATAAAGATGACGAGGTGATGTATGGCCGAGATGCCTATATGAGAGCTCCACGTCATCAAATAAAGATGACGGGGCGATGTATGTCTGAGAGGCCTATATGAGAGGCCCACGTCATCAAATAAAGATGACGAGGCGATGTATGGCCGAGGGGCCTGTATGAGAGTTCCATGTCATCAAATAAAGATGACATGGCGATGTATGGCCGAGAGGTCTATATGAGAGCCCCACGTCATCAAATAAAGATGACGGGGCGACGTATGGCTAGAGGCCTATATGAGAGCCCCACGTCATCAAATAAAGATGATGGGGTGACGTATGGCTGAGAGGCCTATATGAGAGCCCCACGTCATCAAATAAAGATGACGAGGCAATGTATGGCCGAGCGGCCTATATGAGAGCTCCACGTCATCAAATAAAGATGATGGGGCGATGTATAGCCGAGAGGCCTATATGAGAGCCCCACGTCATCAAATAAAGATGACGAGGCGATGTATGGTCGAGGGGCCTGTATGAGAGCTGCACGTCATCAAATAAAGATGACGGGGCGATGTATGGCCGAGAGGCCTATATGAGAGCCCCACGTCATCAAATAAAGATGACGGGGCGACGTATGGCGGAGAGGCCTATATGAGAGCCCCACGTCATCAAATAAAGATGACGGGATGACGTATGACTGAGAGGCCTATATGAGAGCCCCACGTCATCAAATAAAGATGACGGGGCGACGTATGGCCGAGAGGCCTAGATGAGAGCCCCACGTCATCAAATAAAGATGATGGGGCGATGTATGGCTGATGGGCCTGTAAATGAGCTCCGCGTCATCAAAAAAAGATGACATAGCGATATATGGCTGAACTCTGAGCTCCTTTAGCCATTTTGCCGGAGACCGCAAGATGTTCGCTATATCTGAATAAGGTGGTGGATGCCTGTCTGAATATGAGGACGACGACGCTAATGAGTCGGTCCGAATATGAGGACGACATCGCTGACGAGCCGGTCCGAATACATGATGATGGGGCAATGATGAGCCGACCGTCATATAGAGGCAATGGTCACCATCCAGGAAGGGATGGCGAGCCCAATCGCTAGCTCAAGATTATCGGTGCTGAGGAAGCCGGTCTTGAGATAGATAATCACGCCGAGACCGAGGGGCCGGTCGTGATGCCTGGATGGCGATGAGAAGGAGCCAATCCAAAATCAGATGACATGGCGATGATGAGCCGTCCGTCATGTAGAGGCGATGGTCACCATCTAGGAAGGGATGGCGAGCCCAATCGCTAGTTCAAGACTCTCGGCGCTGAGGAAGCCGGTCTTGAGATAGATATTCACGCCGAGGCCGAGGGACCGGTCGTGATGTGAGGACGATGGCGATGAGGAGCCGGTCCTATAATATGATGACGAGGCGATGATGAGTCGGTCGTCATATAGAGGCGATGGTCACCATCTAGGAAGGGATGGCGAGCCCGATCGCTAGCTCAAGACTCTCGGCGCTGAGGAGGCCGGTCTTGAGATAAATAATCACGCAGAGGCCGAGGGGCCGGTCGTGATATGAGGATGATGGCGATGAAGGGCCGGTCCGAAAATCCATGCAACGGTCGCCATCCGGTAAAGGAATGGCTAAGATCGGTCTTGAGATAAATAATCACGTCGAGGCCGATGGGTCGGTCGTGATATGAGGACGACGGCAATGAAGGTCCGGTTCGAAAATCCATGCAACGGTCACCACCCGGTAAAGGAATGGCTAAGACCGGTCTTGAGATAAATAATCACGTCGAGGCCAATGGGCCGATCGTGATATGAGGACGAAGACGATGAAGGGCCGGTCCGATAATCCATGCAACGGCCACCATCCGGTAAAGGAATGGCTAAGACCGGTCTTGAGATAAATAATCACGTTGAGGCTGATGGGCCGGTCATGATATGAGGACAACGATGATGAAGAGCCAGTCCGAAAATCCATGCAACGGTCGCCATCCGATAAAGAAATGGCTAAGACCGGTCTTGAGATAAATAATCACGTCGAAGCCGATGGGCCGGTCGTGATATGAGGATGACAACGACGAAGGGCCGATCCAAAAATCCATGCAACGGTTACCATCCGGTATAGGAATGGCTAAGACCGGTCTTGAGATAAATAATCACGTCGAGGCTGATGGGTCGGTCGTGATATGAGGACGATGACGGTGAAGGGCTG